GAGGAGGAGGAGGAGGAGGAGAGGGGAGGAGGAGGAGGAGGAGGAGGAGGAGGAGGAGGAGGAGGAGGAGGAGGAGGAGGAGGAGGAGGAGGGAGGAGGAGGAGGAGGAGGAGTAGTAGAGGAGTAGGAGGAGGAGGAGGAGGAGGAGGGAGGAGGAGGAGGAGGAGGAGGAGGAGGAGGAGGAGGAGGAGGAGGCGGAGGAGGAGGAGGAGGGCCTGGATCAGGGGCCGTTGCCCGCAGGCCGCGGGGGTGTACAGTGCTGATGCTGAACCGCGCACTCACACGCCTGACCCCGGTGGCCAGCGATCCTGAAGAAGGATTGGTGCCGTGGTCGCGGATGAAGCACGGAACACAACGTCCGATGGGCTTCTCCTTGGGCTCCTCCTTGGGCTCCTCCTTGGGCTCCTCCTTCGGCTCTTCCTCCGCTGGCTCGAAGGAGCACAGCGTCGCCAGGAGCGAGTCGTACCCAGTGCGGCTCATTTTTCTCTCGCCGGTCGAACGCTGCCTGAACTCATGGGCCAGGCGGCCCTTTTACACCACATAGCGAGCGTCCGGACCAGTTAATCATAGTTAATCCTTCGTCGATTCCCCAGTGGAAGCCGAGATCACGTCCCATGGGAAACATAACCCTGAGCATGGGTGGCCGAGATTGGTAGGGCTTGGTTGGCCAGGGGCATCTTTCTCAAGCTGGGCTTGCACTTGAGGAGCTCTTACTTCTCTTCCCAAGGGATTGGATGAGTCAGCCGAGGTTTCGCCTGATGCCCGCCCGTGGGCGCATGTGGGCGCCTCGTGGGCGCTTCGTGCGCTGGGTGGGTCAGCCGAGGTTCCGCCTGGTGCCTGCCCGTGGGCGCCTCGTGGGCGCCTCGTGCGTTGGGTGGGTCAGCTGGGTTCTGCCCCGTGCCCGCGCGTCATCGAGCACGCCTAGCCCCGCGGCCCCGGCCATGTGTCCCAGCCTCCTCAGACGGAGCCGCTGCCACCCTGGCGCCAGACCGCGCCGCGGCCGCCGACCAGCAGGCACGCGCCGCTGCCAGGGCCAGTTGGCTTCAGTGCGGACGGGCCGCTTGTCGCCGGCGCCCGCAGGGCCGACCGCGAGGGGGAGGCAGCTCCTGGACGCCCGCGGCTCGTCGCAGGCCCGGGGGGGCCGCCGGCAGTGAGCTCCTGGCAGCAGCAGCGTGCTGCCCCGGCGGGCGACCGCCGCCCTGCCTCCACGGCGCCCGATAGCGCGGCGCGGGCAGGTCAAGCTGGTGACGGACGCGCTTCGCTCCAGGCGCCTGGACCCAGCCTTACGTCGGGCACTTCCCTCTACAGGAGGAACATAGTCGGGGGACGATTTTTTGTTTATTTTTGAACATGTTTGGGATATTGTTTGATCATTTTTCATTTTTTTCCAAAATCCCCCTGTAGGGGGACAGGCCCGACCTAAACCCAGCCCTGCGCCGCCGGCGGCAGGGGGCATCGCCGCGGCCCCAGCAGTGCTCAGGGCGGAAAAACACACATACACAGTCCATCGTCGACTCCCAGGAAAATATGGGAACATATGGGAAGTGGGGGGGAAAGCAAAAACCCAGAACATATGGGAAAGTATGAGGAATCCTGTTCTAGGTGTCTATTTATTTGCGTGTCCCAGGGCCCCTTCAAGTCCCTGGATCCCCAGGCGGCGACAGCCGCGAGGCGGCCCGTCCCAAACCCTCGCGGGAGGCGGCCCCGCTCCCGCGAGGAGCCCGCCCCGCCCTCAGCCCCTTGCCCCGCGGCGCGCCCAGTGGCCCCGTGGCGAGCCAGGCTGTCCCGACGCCCGCTGCCGCCGAAGCTGACCCTTCGCCCCTGGCGTTAAAGTCGGGCCTGTCCCTCTACAGTGGGAATATTCAAAAATAGTGAAACCATTGTCTGGGGACGTTTTTTTTTGTTTTTTGTTTGTTTGGACTGTTTTTGAGCATGTGTGTGTGTGCGTGTGTGTGTGTGTGTGTGTGTGTGTGTGTGTGTGTGTGTGTGTGTGTGTGATTTTTTTGACCATTTAATTTTTTGCCCAAGACCCCCCTCTACCGACGCCATATGACGCGAGAGCACCTAGCTTGTCCTCCGCGCCAGGAGGGCCCACGGAGCTCGCCACGGGCGGGCGGGCGCCCAAAAAACCCGGGGAGATGTGGGAGGAGGGGGAGGAGGAGGAGGAGGAAGAGGAGGAGGAGGAGGAGGAGGAGGAGGAGGAGGAGGAGGAGGAGGAGGAGGAGGAGGAGGAGGAGGAGGAGGAGGCGCTCGCCGGTCGTTCGCGCGGCGGAGGCCCCGGGGCTCCGTGGCGCGGCAGCGGAGCGCCGCGCGAGGCCCAGGCGCCAGCGGTGCCCAGCGGCCGACAGCCTCCTCGCCGGGGGGGCGGCCGCCCGGTGCTGGTGCCCTGGCGTCAGTTGTAAGGTGGGCCTGTCCCTTTACAGGAGGAGCATTCAAAGATAGGTTAAAAATTAGCCTGGCGAAGGACCCAATCATATGCAGTTGTGAATACCGCAAATATGAATATCGTTTTCGGTGGCGCTACCTCTGGGTAGGGGAGACGCATGCGAACACCCCCACTGGGGCCTTCGGTGGAGCTCCCTATGGGGCCACGAAGCGCTGCCCTGGGTGGGGGAACCGCATGCGGGCACCCCCACTGGGGCCTTCGGTGGAGCTCCCTATGGGGCCGCGAAGCGCTGTCCTGGGTGGGGGAACCGCATGCGGGCACCCCCACTGGGGCCTTCGGTGGAGCTCCCTATGGGGCTACGAAACGTATGGGGCCGCGAAGCGCTGCCCTGGGTGGGGGAACCACATGCGGGCACCCCCACTGGGGCCTTCGGTGGAGCTCCCTGTGAAGCTACGAAACGCTGCCCTGGGTGGGGGAACCGCATGCGGGCACCCCCACTGGGGCCTTCGGTGGGGCTCCCTATGGGGCTACGAAACGCTGCCCTGGGTGGGGAAACTGCATGCGGGCACCCCCACTGGGGCCTACGGTGGAGCTCCCTATGGGGCTACGAACCGCTGCCCTGGGTGGGGGAACCGCATGCGGGCACCCCCACTGGGGCCTTCGGTGGAGCTCCCCATGGGGCTACGAAACGTGTGAGAGGTGTGCCGAGAGCAAAGGCAAGGAGGGGGAGGGGGAGGAGGGAGGAGGGAGGACGGAGAAGGGAGGAGGGGGAGGAGGAAGGAAGGAAGGAAGGAAGGAAGGAAGGAGACGCGGGGCGCTGTCTCTTCAAAACGAGGACCCAACACCACAGGATGGTTGGGAAATAGTCTGAGGACGTTTTTTGGACTATTTTGCAGCATTAGTGGAGCATTTTTTAACATATATTTTCAAGTTTTCGCCGAAGATCCCCCTGTAGGGGGACAGGCCCGACCTAACGTTGGGTCGGGCATGTCCTCCTACAGGCGGAGCTTGCACGAAAGATATTGAACAACAAGTAAGCCATATTCTAAACATGCCCAAACAGAGCCAAACCATATATGCAAAACATCGTCCCCAGACTATTGTTTGACAATTTTTGTGTCTTCCTCCTGTAGGGGGACATGCCCGATTCAATGCTGGCGCCCTGGCGTCCTGGCAGTCGGCCAACAAGTTAAACGACCCCCCCCCGCCTGCGGCCCTCCATGTTGCGCTGCGGCCCATCTGGGGCCGTTCCGCATACCACGCAGGAGCCAGCGCCGGATGTCCTGGCATACACTCGTCCCGGGGGGGCCGCAGGCGGGGTGGTGTCGTCTGTGTTCTGGGCTGGGCAGGGTCCAAGGCGACCGTCGCTGCGGCGGCCCGCGCGCGCTGCTGGCCCTCGGGTCGCCGCCTCCCGAGTCGGCCCAAGAGGATCCCGAGATCGCCCGAACGCCTCCCAGGTGGGCACCAAAACGGCACAGACAGCCCCCCAAGACTGCCTCCGAAGGCGCCAGACGGACCACGAGCCCCCCCTGAGGCCGTCCAGGAGTCCCCGAGAGGCCCCCAAGCGGCCCCAAGAGGCTCCCGAGGATTATTATATATATATGTATATATATATATATATATATATATATATATATATATATCTCTGGCGTGCCTGTTGTTCTCTGCGAAGGAAGGATGGGAGGGCTCCGATGGCGAACACGACCGTGGTCGCTGTTTGTGCTCAAGCTTTTACAAGGTGACCGAAATGCCCAGGCCGCGCTCTGTGGCTTGGCTATTCGGCTCCTTCGCTCAGCTGCTGACTGCGTACTGATGGCGTAGCCACCCCTGCCTGCAGTGCCCAGCGTGCCGGAGCGCCACGTGCCCTACGTGTCCAAGTGCGAGTTGTCCTGCCTGTCCGAATTTCGAGTGCCCGTCGACCTTGTACCCCTTGTAGGCCGGCGGGGTCGCCGGCGGAGGGGCTGCGCAAGAGGCTGCGCCGCCGTTCAATCGGGCCGAGGCCGAGTGCCCAGCGCCTGACGCCCCAAGCCCGGCGGCGCCGGGGGCGGCGCCTGCGCCCGCGCCGGCGCCTGAGCCTCCGGCGGCTGCTGCAGCACCGGCGCCTGAGCCCGCGCCGCCGCCGCCCGTGTCGTCGGAGGCGGCTTGGGGCAGCTGGCTGGGAGAGCTGGCGTTGCTGGGGGTGAACCTGCTGCTCATCGTGTTCCAACTGGTGCGAGTGCTGGTGGCCCGCTGCTTGGCCTCGACCTGGGAGTACCGCTCGCGTCGATCGCGAGCCCCAGCGGCCATATGTGATGTCGGCTCCGCCCCAAGACGTGCTCCAGTGGGCTTGGGTGTTATACGCCGGCGAGCGGCGGTGG